GAGCGGCTGGGTACATGTCGAGCAAGAAGACCATGGAGATCAACCCAGAGAACCCCATCATGGAGGAGCTGAGAAAGAGGGCTGATGCAGACAAGAATGACAAGTCAGTGAAGGACCTTGTTCTCCTTCTGTTCGAGACTGCTCTCCTCACCTCTGGGTGCAGAAAGACAATTTTTTAGATGATGTTTGCGTGTTTGTGTCTTTCAGATACACAAACGTGCACACACATCAACATCCAAACTGAAAAATGAAAGCGAGGTGAGACAGAGAGGTGATGTGCCTCCAGAGAGGTGAGACAGAGCCAAGGGCAAGAAAAAGTTGAAACCCTAATTGAAAAATGAAGACAAAAGAAAGACAGAAAAACCCTTATTTATAAACAAATCTTATATACCACGTCGGTTATTTTAAATTATCGACGTTTATATGAAAACATAAACGTCGTTTAAACCTAAAATAAGGTCGTATAAATTAATTAACAACGACGCTATATAAAAACGATGTTGTCATTTTTTGGAAAACTAATTTATTGTGTAATTAAAAAAGTTACACGTCGGTATGAGTAATTAAAATGACATGGTATGTATTTTTCACATCATTATTATTGAGTATAAGGTTGTTGGGTAAATTGGAAAATGACGTGATTCATCTTTTTGAAGAAAAATGCATCGTGTAATTCGATATAAAAACGACGGTTCATTAAAACCTGGCGTCGTGTAAAGTCATATTATAGGGCGGTGTTAACCTATAGCGCCGTATAATGTTTCATACTAGGGCGCTTCCTATTAATAGTGTCGTTTTATGAAACGGTTTGTTATTATTTTAAACTTTTCGCCTACCTGACCCATACTTGCACTGTTTCCAAACCTGAGAAAAACTTTCAAGCTTCTCTCATTATTCATTCTCAAAGTGTTGTTTCAAACTTTCAAGCTTATCTCTGAGAGAAAACTTTTCATCTTCTTCTCCTCTTCGTCTTCGTCTCTGAATTGAAACACCAAACTCTAGGAGAAAGCTTTCATTGCACGCAAAGGGTAAGCATGTCTGGAAGGATTTTTGTTCCTGTTTTGCATTCGCATATCATTTTCGTTTTTTTAAATCTTTTTACATTTTTCTTTCCAAGTTTGATAAAATTTGCAGACAAAGACGGAAAGTTTCCAAGTTTGAACACTACTCTGATTCTTTTACTTCAACTAAATAAGACGACGGTGGCTTGTTATTTACGTGGTTAGATTTATAGACCACGACGGTTTGTCAGTCACCCTATCATTGTGTGAAAGTGTTCTTCGTTGTTTTTTAAAATGACATTCTTTTTTTGTATTTGATTTTTAAGGATATATTCATCACAGGTTTGATTTCTCTGAACAATGGTTTTTGTTTTGAAAATCTTTTTAAATATTTTTCTGTTGAAAATATTTTACGTTTTTCCTAATTTGTTTTTGTGGTATAGACGACGGTATATTAATATTTACGTCGTTTTATTTTCAATACCACGGCGAATTTTTATTATTAACGTCGTTGTAATATTTAATATTTTGTTTTTTGTGATTATATCATAAGACGTCGGTTGTGTATTATTGACGTCGTTGTAATATTTTATCACGTCGGTGGTTAATTACCGTT